TGAAGTGACACACTTTGACACCCACGCGTCTCCACCTGCTCCTTCAGTCATAGTAAGCTCACATCATGGAAAAACAAAATAATGAATAATTAAAGGCAAGAGGCCGACGCGCACTGAAGTTGTTGGATTTTATTTTTCAAGCCAACCTGACGTGTAGATGATGATAATTTTGGACGTGAAGTCAAAATACCATCTGCCTATAAGCTTCGATGTTGTTCAGTTTTACCAACTTGCTGCCAACCCAAATGAAACATCAAAACAATTTTAGGTTACAGTAACTTCGTTCAACTCCTATCATCAATAATTGTTTTGTGGCATTGCAGTTAAGCTCACGGGATTCATTCTGACACTGCCTGATATTTCTTCATTTTTAGAGACAAAGATTATGTTTCTCTCTTTTGACGTCACAGCACATGACTCTACCTTTCCCAGCAATCTTCATAACTGAATTCAGAATTGCCCACATCGTTTTAATGATTCGCACAATGATCCGCCTGCTCCAGTGTGCAGCCTGTCCATTAACACTCTACCTACCAATTCGACTTCTCCCCATTAAGTGCATTAGTTCTGTAGTGACGGTGCTACAGAGCGTTTTTGTTTAACCGCTGTGTTAGCTGTGTTTACATTCACATTACAGAGAAAAAACACGCACGCTGGTGATAGACGAGACAGAGTATGGGCGGCCTCTCATCAACGGCACGCAGAAAACGAGGATGCGGTTGCCAGGGGCAACTCCCCGGTGCTAAAGGTCAAATTCATCGGCCAGAACCGAAATATTGTGCGGTCTAATGAACGAGGGGGAAATTGAGTCGAGAGAGTCAGCAGGCTGAGAATGGGTTCGTCTCCCGACGAGGAAAGGACGCTTTCAGAGACGTTTGCGAACCTACTGATTCAAATTGCAGGAGTGGGTGGCCGGCACTGGACAATGACGGATGGCAACCGCACAGTGCAGTCATCATCGACTCGCTAGCGGCTGGCAGTCAGCGAATTTGCCCGGCCGATTTTTGGAAACAGTGGCCGGTAATTCTTGCATACTGGTGCCTAAATACCAAAGTGCGTTCAGTAAGCCCGAGCATAATGTCATAACGCCATCATTGCGTTCCCTGTAAGTGCTTACTTGTTCCATTTGGGATTTCCACATACGGACATCTCTTCAGACTGGTCAGTTATACGGTCACTGTCTTTATCCAGATATACCATTGTCCAACTACGCAGGAGGGTATGTAACAAGCTTCGTTACCAGCAACGTGTATCGTGTGGGTAAGTCAGCTTTAAAAATTCAATGTCTTCTCTTTGTAGTAAGCTAGGAGCAAGTAGTAACGTGTAGGAGTTCAACGGAACATGCTTTCCCGTGGTTCAACCTTGGGCACGCTAATTCAACGTAATATCTAAAGCTTACAATTTATTCTATAACGAAAAAGGGACAAAACACGAATGGTAATGCAAATTTATGTAAAATACCCCAAACCCTTCCAACCCTGAACACTGAAATAGTTTACCCGTGTCGTAAGAAAATCCGGACTAAACATATGCAAAATCGCAAATCCGAATCGATCGTGTATATCTGCACCACGTGATTTGTTTGTTTACTACCCTGTTCCTTCCCTAATCTTTTTAGAGTCGGTGAAGAACTGTATTGTTGCATTATCAGCTAGCAATCACCGCCGTATTGACCTTCATAAAAAGAGCAAAATGAATAAAGCTTCCAATTCCTTCCAAGTCTCTTCCTTATTTTTTTCACCGACATCGTACCATGTGTGCTATCAGCTGTCGCATTCGCTTCACCCGGAAATATTGAGTGTACCTTCAGGGTTTGTGGCGTCGAGCGTGCGGCGGATTTGTACGGTTACCGCGTTCCATATGCATGTCATGGCTGTCCAGGCGACAGCAATTAGTGTCCGCCTCCGCGGCCAATTTTCACGGTGCCCAGCGGTTTAGTGACGACCCACCGAAGCTTACCTGTGTCTTAAAGGAACAATACGCTTTTCGAATGATCCTTAGAAAAAAAAGCTCGAAATAATAACCACGTCATATTACGGATTACAGACAGATGTTTCATCTGACAACTGCAAAATCTACGACATCAAATTGGACGCCCGTGTGTGTACTTTGTAGAACGTGTTCACCATTCTACGGAGCAAATCTCAGTTTTAATTATTCATTGGACTTTATAGTCAATAAATGATATATCTTTATGCAATAGAAGTTTATTTACCTTCATAGACTGGCGCCATTTCGTTTCCAGAGGAGTAATGCAGACCATATCCTTTTGATTAATTCTATACGCTGGTAAATATAAAAATAAGCCGCGATTGGAGTTGTACACTGACAAATCCAATCGGCTCTTGTCCTTGTGACATCTACGCCACTTTACGATCACAGTTGAAAATCAAAGAAAATTTATAAATCAGATAGCTTGAAGGAAATGCCATGTCTCTCTTTGGGGTTTACGCGCATAGGAACATGCATAAGAGAGTACGTATGTTGTGTGGACAGTCGATCGAACGACGAGAGCCATCACAGTGCACGCATGAGTGATAGAACCTTATGGCTGCAAGCGACATTATGAACTAGGACGACTGTGTACGCTGGTGATGGGCTGACGAATTTAGGAACATTAGAAATTGCTCAATTTATCTCATAACTTATGGGAAGGAACGTCTGACTCAACAAATTGGCTGAATCGGATGAATGTGAAGATGTAATTCCGTCTCAGAATGGTGTGTGTTATCGACTGAAAATCGCCATAAACTCTATACAGTGTACGTCCGAAGTCTGTTCGTAAACTAAAGGCGAAAGGCCGTTTATCGATTTTTAAATTTTCTTAGCTTTTTTTTAAAGGAAATTAAATTTTTTCCGCTTGAGTTTTGCCTTTTGAGTGACTAAAGGATGCGATTTCATTACAGTTAAACAAAAAGTCTTATTTTGCAAAATTCGGGGACTCAGATACTCAGATCTCTTTCCCATACCCACTCCCTCGAGGAAAAATGGTTGGAAAACATTGCATGAAAATCAAGACAGCTCAGGGTCTTCAACGGGAGAGATTGTCTGCTCTAATCAAAATTGCAGGGAAGGCGTAAGAGGGAAACCGAACAAAGCATATGTCGGTCCACATTC